GATTGCCCAACCTTCCTTCTGAGGAGTGGCTGGTGGGTTTGACCACCAGACTTCTGGTTAGCAGTCAAGTGCCTTAGGCACTATGCTACCAGAGCTCCTATGTGTGTGTGTGTGTGTATATATATATGTGTGTGTGTGTGTGTATTTGCATTTGCATATAATTATATGTGTGTGTGTATGTATATGTACACACATATAAATAGTTAATGTATAAGACTCAGCAAAAAATAGGCAAGATAAAATGATTTCTAAATGACAGCATGGTTGGTTTTCATTGAATTGCCTCTTCCTAGTTATTCCTACAAAGGAAGCTGTCAATCTGTCCAGATTTCCTGAACTACTCCTCAGAGAGAAGTGTTTCAAATCATACACTAGAATGAGACAAAGATAATAAATGAAGTATACCACTCTGGATTTGCTTGGTTTTAATGATATAGATGACAGGGTTCATAAAGGGTGGGAAAAGGAAGTAGACATAGCTCATTGTGATGTGAACCACACGAGGAGCATGCTTTCCAAATCTGTGAATTAATGTCAGACCAACCACAGTGATATAGAAGACCAGAATGCAGCAGATATGAGAGACACACGTGTTGAAGGCCTTAGCCCTCTCTTCTCCAGAAGTAATGCTCATGACAGTCTTGAGAATCAAAATATAGGAGAAAACAATGATAAGAAAGTCCAATAAGACCATTGCAAACACAACCACAACTGGGTAGAGACGATTAAAGGTGATATCAGCACAGGCTAGCTTGATAACATCTTGGTGTAAACAGAAAGCATGGGAGAGTACATTGGATTGGCAATAGGGAAGCCAGAGCAGCCTAATAATTATTGGCATAATTGACAGACCAGCCCTTGTCAATATTCCCACCCCGATCTTCATTACCTGGGTGTTGGTCAGGATAGAGGCATACCTCAATGGGTTGCAGATGGCAATGAACCGGTCATAGGCCATAGCAAGCAAGACTCCTGACTCCACAATAGAAAGAGTGTGAATAAAGTAGGCCTGAGAGAAGCAGACTCCATGGCTAATCTCCCTGTAATTTAACCATAGGACACCCAGCACTGTGGGCATCGTGGTCAGAGTCACCCCAAGGTCTGTAGCTGCCAGCATAGCTAAGAAATAGTACATAGGTTCATGAAGGTTATGGTCATCCCTGATAAGAAAGAGAAGGATGCCATTGCCAAGAAGTATGGAGATGTATACTACCAACAATGGGATGGAAATCCAATGATGTGCCCTTTCCATGCCTGGGAAGCCAGTCAGGAGAAAGGAGAAAGAAGTGGTATTGAGCCACATTGAGGGCCTTATAAAAAGGGGATTATTTTCTCAAGGTAAAGTTATAGAATCCTCTAGTTCTTTAGAAATCTTTCTTGAGTGTGCTACCTGTTCATAAGTTCTCCATCTGTCCCGACTTCCCGTGACAGCAGGGATGGTAATTCAATCATTCCTTGGAGAGTCCTAGTATGGGAAAATAGACTGCATGAGCAACTATAATTCAAAGTTTACTATAAGTAAAGTTTTGGGCAATATGCTGGGGATACAGCAGTCAGTGTATGCAGAACAGACTGGTTGACATCCCTGTTGATCTTATAACTCAGAAAATGAAGAAACATGAAAAAAATCACTGAATATGACTATTGCTATAATAACACTGGAGTTTTTAGAGATTTTTTTTCATGGTGTTCTTTATCTTGACTGGCAATATTGAAGGTAGACATGAAGGTTTCCTAGAATGCATGAAGATGAAGATTAAAGATTACAATCTGCAGTATGGATTATATTTCAACAGAATGAAAATTAAAATCTTCACAACTGGACCAATAAGTAGCATCACGATAAATGGAGAAAAGATTGAAGTTGTCAAAGATTTCATATTACTTGGTTCCACAATCAACACCAATGGAAGCAGCAGCCAAGAAATGAGATGATGTATCAGACTGGGCAGATCTGCTGCAAAAGACCTCTTTAAAGTCCTGAGGAGGAAAGATGTCTCTTTGAAAATTAAGAAGTGCCTAACCCAAGCCATGATATTTTCAATCACCTCATATGCATGTGAAAGCTGGACAATGAATAAGGAGGACCAAAGAAGAGTTGGTGTTTTTGAGTTGTGGTGTTGGCAAAGAATACTGAAAGTACCATGGACTGTCAGAACTAACAAATCTGTCCTGGAAGAAGTGCAGCTGGAATGCGAGAATGGCCAGACTTCATCTCACCTACTTTGGTCATGTTGTCAGAATGGACCATTCTCTGGAGAAGGATATCATGCTTGGGAAAGTGGAGGGTTAGTGTAAAGGGGGAAGACACTCAACGAGATGGATTGACACAGTGGCTTCAACAATGGGCTCAGGTATAGCAAGGATTGTGAGGCTGGCGCTGGACTGGGCAGCATTTCATTCTGTTGCACAGAGGGTTGCTGTGAGTCAGAGCTGACTGGATGGCACCTAATAACAACAACAACAACAGAATGCATGAGACCTAGAAGATTAACAAAAATTGGTTCTAAGCAGTATTGGAAGTGCAGACATGAGAGTCCTAAGGCAAAATGAAAATATAAGTACAGTAAAATAATAAAATATATATATATATATATATATAAAGTAAAATAGAATTAGTTGATTTGAGGGAATGACTGATACTTAATATAACTGGAAGGAAATTTAATTGATGTGGCTCTCAAGATTTTGTGTAGTAATGTAAAAATGACATAAATATTACCTATATGTATCTCTGAAATACATGAACCTCTAAATCCATGTCTCCTAACCTCATGATATCCTAATTATTGGTGTGAAATGCTTCAAAAAATTGTCTACCATAATATAGATAAGAAAAGAAGCAATAAAAATGGATTTTATGATAAACACTTGAGAGCAATATTTGTTAATTAGATCAGACAAATGTAACTTGTGGCATAGCACCTATTTGAAGATACAAAGATAGAAATTAATTAATGTCTAAGGTGATACATTAAACAAATGGCAGAGTCCTTTTTATCCACTGTGGACTAGACAGGTTGATCTCTTTGTAGTATTTAGGAGCACAACTAAGCTTGCTGCCTCTCTTTTCTATTTTCACTGAAAAGCTGTCTGTGGTAGGTTTACTCAGAGCTGTCTTTGTGGTACATGAGATTCTATGTAAGTTGTAAGAAGAGTTAAAAATGTAAGATTTTTTGTCATACACCTTGTTGCTACTTATCCACTACCAGGAATTCCATCTTAAGATGGACTTGGCTTTCATCAACAAGAGAGAATTTCTAAAGTCTCAAATTCTGCCACATAAACTCAGGCTCCATGCAGAAACAGAGATACCATTCAGATCTTTACCTTATTTATAGCACTTTACATTATTATTTTAAAATTAATGTTTACTAACATTACCGTACACATATCCTGATATTCCCTTTTGTCTGAAACATTCAATCCTTCTTTAAAAAAAAAAAAAATCTTCTGTAACCTTTTGTCCCTCACCCACCCTATTTTTCCACAGATGGTTCAAACTAGTATTCCAATCTATTGTTTATTCTATCTTTATAATTTCCCATATATCTATTCTCTATACTTAATTATTAGCACAACATCTACCACATAACTTGTATTGATTTTTAGAATCATTGACTTATTGATTGACCAATACATACAAATTCATTTTCAGGCCTTCTTATATCCCAGCCTCTTTGAGAAGATCCTCAAATCACCAAAGCACCTAGATTGTTTGAGACATGTTCTATAGTAATTGATAACTCTGAATAAATAGTTGTATATCTCCAATATCTAGAGTGATCTCATGGGTGCTTATGAGAGATACAGAATGATAAACTCAATCCAGTTTTCAGTTCAGGGGTTAGTGAATGTCCCTGAATCCTATGTTGCATGTTACACACTTTGCAGGTGCTGGAGACATCAACAAAACCAAATCCTCGGTTGCTGTGTAGTCTATTCCAACTCATAATGACAATATAGGACAGTGTGGAACTGTTCCATAAGGTCTTCAAGGTAGTAATACTTACGGAAGCAGCCTGGACACCTTTTTCCAGCACAGTGACTGGTAGGGTCAAATGCCAACCTTTCAGTTAGCAGAAGAGTCCTTAACCACTGTGCCACCAGGGCTCCTTCCCTCTGGATATACACTTCTATGTAAATTACTGTCCCTGATCTAAAGGTATACACAGCCTAGATTCTATCCTAGTTTAATCTTGTTGCCAGATTGTGACTTTCTCTAGAAAGTCTTTGGACCTTCTGATGATCACAGGGCTACCCCCTCTTTAAGCTTTTATAAGACAGCCTATCCTAGGAGTTTATAGGGATTTCTGGGGGTGGGGGAAGAGGGAAGGTCATGGAGGTTTCCACAGGATTAGAATGATGGCAGTGAGGCTGAAAGTTCAGATATGCAGAGCCAGAAGTAGAAACACACAATTTATCCCTGAGTCTACATCCATCTTCATTTTTTTCCCATAACTCTTTGGCTCATGCTTCTAAGAATCTATCCTAAGTCTTATTTTAAATATCTGGGAGGAAATCCTTAAAGAAGTCAGTTTCTAAAGTTGTCTTGGAGTCTTTAAAACTCATGACTATTCTCCCTTTTCTCTTGGCAGATGGTACTATTACTTTCCTCTGGCTGGGAAATAAGATCACTACTTCTCACCCTGCCTTACCATGACCTGGGGCTGCCTACAGTGAGGTGTAAGAGAGAAAATTCATTAGATGCCCTCACTAACCTGAAGTTTAGTACCTGGAGTTCAGTCCTACTCTTCAGTACCATAGTCATGATTCTTGGATCCTTGGCTTTGTCAAGGGTTTCGACATGACACCATCTCTTCCGAGCCTGCACAAAGCCTGGCTGGTAGAAACATTTGTTTTAGAAGCTCCTCTCCAGGGTCCTTTTCTGTTTCAAGTCACTCAGAAAAATCCCTCATCACCCCTTCTCCCTCCCTCCCTTCTTGGCTCACTTAGCCTTAGGGATATGAAATTCTGAACAACAGTCCCTGGGGGCTCTGTCTGTGTCCCTGCTTGGACTTGAACCCTATTGCTGGGAGTATGATTAGTTATTTAAATATTTCAGAACAGGGAAGAAAAAGCAGACCAGTTAGGGACCTGGAGTGAAACACCATTGTTGAGATAGCATTTTTCTGAGCTATCGGTGAGAATTGACAAGCCCTGTCACTAAAATGAGGCATATGCAAACATTGGAGCAGAGCAGGAATCACTTTTGGTGAAGCAACAGTTTCCCCACTCTACTCTCTTTCCAAGCAACCCTGACAGCAGAGTGGTTAAACAATCAGCTGCTCACTGACAGGTTGGCAGTTCCAAGCTAACAGTTCTGCCGGAGAAAAATGTGGCAGTAGGCTTCCTTAAAGATTATAGCCTTAGAAACCCTATAGGAAATTTTAGTCTGTTATATAGGGTCATTAGGAGCCAAACTCAACTCCATGTCACACAACAGCAACAGCCCTCTTTCCTGTAGTCCTGATGTTGGTTGCAGCCAATGTGGAACCAGAGCCCTGTCCCATGGAAATCAATCCCAGGAAGGGGGACCTTCCTCTTTACTCCCTGTTTTCCCCTTAGCCCTCTACATAATCCATTCCCTACACAACTTAAGAAAATGGAGAAAGAATGGTGGCCATTATTAATCAAGTTGACTAAAGTATGTTGTTGTTGTTATGTGCCGTCGAGTCGGCCCCGACTCATAGTGACCCCTCCTTGGGTTTCCAAGGCAGTATCACTACGGAAGTAGGATTGCCCAACCTTCTTTCCTAGGAGTGGCTGGTGGGTTTGAACCGCCAGCCATCTGGTTAGCAGGCAAGTGTCTTAGCCACTATGCTACCAGAGCTCCCAGAGCTATACCAGAGTATATTAGGTGCCATCAAGTTGATTTAGACTTACAGCAACCCTTTGAAAAACAGAACAAAACACTGCCTGCCGCCGCACCATCTTCACAACCTTCGCTATGATACAGCCCATTGCTACAGCCACTGTGTCATTCCAGATCATTGAGAGTCTTCCCACATTTCACTAACCCTCGACTTTACCTAGCATGATATCCTTCTCCAGGGACTTGTCCCTTCTGATAACCTAACCAAAGTCTAACAGAAGTCTGGCAATTCTTGCTTTTGAGCAGCATTCTGACTGTACTTCTTCCATGGCAGATGTATTTGTTCTTTTGGCAGTCCAGGGGATATTCAATATTCTTCACACACACCATAATTCAAATGCATCAATTTTTCTGTGATTTTCCCTATTCATGGCCCAGCTGTTGCCTGCAAATGAGGCTATTGAAAAGTCATATCTGTATAAAGCTGT